TCACCCTATTTACAAGTTGTTTATGCCCTGACACCATCTCCTGTTTTTAGTATCTTAGCATAAATAACTTGAGCTAACTTTTTTTCCCCACTATTCGTCTTTAATCTCCATACAAACAACCCAAGCTAACTTCCTCTCAGCCATCCTTTGTATCTATTCTCTGCATAAACAGCTTAAACTAACTTCCTCTGGTACCATTTGTATCCACTCTCTCTTCCTAAACAGCTTAAAGCTTAAGCTCTATTTGTCTAAATTTCTCTTAGCACCCTCTTTGCAGCCCATGTATGCCCACACTCCCTCTTCTCAGAGTCCTGTGACTATGACAGTGTATTTTATGTCATGGTCATGCTAAATTACAGTCATGGTGTATGTTATATGCAGCTGATTTTGGGAAAGGGACAGCATCCACGGGGTCTAATCTAATCACCTCAGCCCTTAAAAGCCAAGAGATGAAAATCTCCATCATGAATTGGTGCTGTTTTTCATTTGAATCTGAGGGGACCATCCAGAAAGGAATACAGGTGGGTTGGAGGAGGCAGAGAGTTCTCAACGGACAGCCAGCAAGGACACAAGGACTTCAGTCCTGTACCCACAAAGAACTGAGTTTTGCCAACAAGCTGAATGGGCTTAGAGCTGAATGAAAGGCAGCTTGGCTGAGGCCTTTATGTCAACACTGTGAAACCCTGAGCAATGTGCTTAGCTAAGACTTCTCACCTGCACAGGTAACCTATTGAAGGGTGGTTTTAAACTCCTCCAAGTCTGAGGTTTTTGTTTGTTTGTTTGTTTTGTTGTTGTGGTGGTGGTTTTTTTTTTTTTTTTTTTTTTCAGCAATAGAAAAATGAACACAACCCATCTGCAAGTTCATACTCTGCCTAAAAATAAAAGCCTGGTAGATTGCAGGTTCAGCAAGTCTTTCTTAAGAAAAAATAGACATGTATTTTTCTTGACAGTGGAGGTAGGCAGAATCATGACATAAAAATTTCTAGCCATAAAAATTGTTCAGTTTAGGCTGGACAGTGGTGGTACACGCCTTTAATCCCAGCACTTGGGAGGCAGAGGCCCATGTATGAGTTCAAGGCCAGCCTGGTCTATAGATGGAGATCTAGGACAGCCAGGACTACACAGAGAAACCCTGTCTCGAGAAACAAAACAAATTGTTTAGTTTCATTGTATCATCTTAAATGAAGAAATAGTGTTAACCAAAAAGACCAAGATGGTGTGTGGCTCAACATGTATGCCCAGCATGCACCAGGTACTATGTTCAATCCTTAGCACAGCTTCTCCCCAAAGGAAGACTATTTAGGGAATAAAAATGCATGCCAAAGGTGGCAGTATGTATTTGCAGTAAGTCTGTTCATAAAGAACTTGCATCCAGCATATATAAAGAAGTCCCCCTGTAAATGTAAAAAAAAAAAAAAAAAAAAAGAGCATATAACCTACAAAATGGACAGAAATTCAGATACTTTACACAGATGGTATCTGGTAGCCAATTAGCATGAAATGAAACAATTTGTTCTTCCATTGGTTATAAGGGACACTCAAAACCGCAATGAATCTAAACACTTGAGAGGCTGAGCAAGAAGGTGCTTAAACTTAAATGTTCAAATCTGAACTGAAAACAAAACACAATGAAATACTGTTACCTGCTTATCAGAAAGGCTAAAGTTATAAACAAGGGGGAAGAGAGATGGCACAGTAATAAGAGTACTGGCTGTTCATCCAGAGACCAAGAGTTCACTTTCCAGCACCCACATGGTGGCTCACACCATCTGTAACTCCTCACTCCCTTTTCTAGCCTCTGAGAGCACCAGGCATGCATGTGTTGCACAGACATAGATGCAGACAAAACATCCATATCCACAAAGATAAATATTCTTCAAAAATGAAAAAAACTTGATGAGCAATTCTGAGGGTTGGCAGAAGCACAGTGGGGCCTTCGATGAGTGACTGTGAACTGGATGTCTAAAAGAACAGAACTGTACTTAAACTGTCGCATGGTTCTGGGGGCTAGAAACATGGAATTGGCGTTAGTTCTCTTTAGTGGTTAAGGGAGAATCATTTCTTGCCTCTTCTGAGTTTCTGGTAAAGGCTGCTGTTCCTTGAGGTATGATTGCATTTTGCTGATCTGAGCCTCCATTTTCACACTTCCTTCTCTGTGTGTTTTCCAATGCTGGGGAAGAAGCCTAGGTTCACATCGGTCATGGTATCTTATGCCGCGTCATATCCCCAGCTCTTCTGTTTGTGTTTCTGCAACCTAATTTTTTTTTTAAAGTTTTCTTTTTCATTAAGGCTTCTTCTTATCTCCCTGGGACAAATAATTCTTGAAAGTATAATTAATAGGCCAAATTAAAAAATTCCTGATAGCTAATGCCAGATGGCTTCCTAGAAAGGTGGGACATTAGAACTGGTCTAAAAGAAAAAAGGAAAGATCCTACTTTTCTAATTTGAAAGTCTACATTCACAGAAACTAAAAAGGAACCAGAATTTCAGGGCTGGAACAGTGACTCAATGGATAAGAGCACTGGCTTCTCTGACAGAGGACCCAGGTTTAATTACTAACACCTAAATGATTGCTTACAACCTATGTAACTCCAGTTCCCAAGGGACTCAGTGCCCTCTGCTGGCCTCAGTGGGTACCAGTCATGCATGTGGTACACAGACATACATACATGCAGGCAAAACACCCATACACATAATTTTTTTAATTAGAATTTTGTCTAGGTATGGTGATACACATCTTTAATTCGTGCTCTTGGGAGGCAGAGGCAGGAAGAGCTCTGTGAGTTCAAGGCCAGCCTCATCTACAGAGTGAGTCCTGGGTCAGCCAGGACTACATAGAGAGACCCTGTCTCTAAATAAATAAATAGAAAATTTAAAAAATTAGAATTTCATCAGGAAATACCATGCTGCCAGTGAGGATAGACCACATCCTGGTACCAAAGGAGGAACTGACTCCTAGGAAAGACTTATCTCACAGTTTGGATATCTTAATTCATAGCTAAACCTGTGTGTTATTCCTGGCTTTTGCTTCATCATTCCTGTAAATTGTATACAGGCAGATAGAGAGAGGCTGGGACTTTTTCCTCTCCCCAGTTCTGGCCCAAACTAAATAAATCATTTTTCTTTTACCAGCTCCTGCTTCCTGAGTTTTTTAGAATGGCTAACAAGGGACCTAAGAGTCCAGTAATGTAAAAGGATATATTTTATTGCATGTCTATATCTTTATTAGTGAACTTCAAATGTTTGCTATGTTTATTCAACATTAATATCTCTTCTACTCTGAGTTATCCTTTTATTTATTTTGCCCAGTGTTGAATTAAGTTTTTGGCATGGTTCATATCAGTTTGGAAGCCTTTTATATGTTAAGGATATCAGTCCTGGGCTGAGGGTTTGTGTAGCTCAGTGGTGGAATGCTTGCTTAGCATGTTTTAGGTCCCAGGTTTGTCTTAAGATGGGGATGAAAACAATCTGACAATCTGTGGTTATCATATTTGTTGCAAATATTACCTCTAATTTTTCCCTTGAATTTTTGCAAATGATATACTTGGAAAGAGATATTTTCAATATAATGCGAACCACTGTTTGTCAAATATTACTATGTGCTGTGTCTTGAACAAAAGTTTTTGTGTGGATTGGGGCTGGAGAGATTGCTCATTAGTTAAGTCTGCTTCCTGTTCTTCCAGAAGACTGGAGCTCAGTTCCCAGTACCCATCTTGGGTGGCTCACAATGGCCTGTTATAGAAGCTTTGGGGGATCCAGTGCCCTCTTCTGGCTTTTGAGAGCACTACACACACACACACACACACACACACACACACACACACACACACAGAGATAAAAATAATTTCTAAAAAAAGCTTTACATGTGGATTATCACATTTAATCTTGGCCGTAGCCTTGATGGAATACAGTGTTTCCCGATTGTTGTCCACGAAGAAATATACATTCAAGGTCATATAGCCAATAGCTACAAATTAATGGTATGGAACCATTACTTAGAGTACTGAAATAGGCCTACTTTTTTCCTATAAAGAACCTTAGGCTAGCCAATTTTATTATTGTTTTAATGTTTTGAGTAGGCAATGCAGTCATTGCAAAAGGATCAAAAGGAATGTAGTTCTAGCTCTCGCTGGCCCCTCTCTTCCCTTTCCTACTCTTCACCTCATTCTCTGCTTCCACTCCAGATCCTTGACGGTGCCTTGTAGATACAGGTAAACGTGATTATATAGCTTGACTTCTTTTTTCCCTTAGGTCACACAAAACAGACACTGTTTTGGTCACTTGATTTTGCAAGACTTGTCTGCTGCTGTGGTATAAAGTCTATTAGAGAGAAGATATTGGGATGATTTAATTACATTTCATCTTTGAAGAGATTTTTTTGCAGGCTGAGAGTTCAATTTGTTTCAATGGTAATTTTGTATTGAAATAGACTTGGGGCCAAACTACAGCCTTGCCAAGGCTTATATAACTAACAGAAGCTGAGCCTTCAACCGTTGCCATATGCTGTGAGGAACAAAGCCAGAGAACAGTCAGTGCATGTAGGTCTTGAGCACTGAGTTCTGGAGCCTTGAGAGCTGTCTCACAAAAAATGTGTTGTGTGTGGTGTCCTGTTTTGTTTTTCATTCAGGTGCTAGTTCTTTATTCCTTTTAGTTTTATTATTTCTTTATTACCATATATTAATTGCACAGCATATTGAGTTTTATGATGACATTTCCACGCATGTATGTAATGTATATTGATCCTGTTACTCTCTACTATCCACTCATCATCACCCCCAACACACACACATACACACTGTGCTGGTCCCCTTCTGTTTTCCAAACATGTGTAACATACTTCTCTTCTTAGTGCTCCTTGAGGGGGAAGTAAAGGACAAGAGCTGGGAGATATGGCTTGGAGTCATATTGCCACCAAGTAGGATCTCTAGAGAGAACCTGTGCCCCTCCCAAAGCCACGTACCCTGAACATGCTGCTTGTGTCTTGCCTTTCTTCACCCTAGGTACTGGCGGAGGACACTGGGTATGCAAGTCCGCTATGTACACCGTGAGGACTATCAGTTCTGTTACTCCTTCCGGGGCAGGCCAGGACACAAACCGTCCATCCTCATGCTCCATGGATTCTCTGCACACAAGGATATGTGGCTCAGTGTAGTCAAGGTACACTTCCAGACTCTTCTCTCTTAAAAGGGGTGGACCACAGTTCAAATTCATCTTTAAATTAATGAAATATATAATATATTACTCAGACTCTCTTTTTTGCATTACAGAATTGATTGGGATATAATATATTACTCAGACTCTCTTTTTTGCATTACAGAATTGATTGGGTAGTATTTTAAAAACTGTGTCTCTGGAATCTTCTCACCATGGAAATATTTTTAGGCATGGGGAGGGTTGGGGATGTTTCAGCACAGCTCTACCTCAGAACTGCCATGATAGTGGTCAAGGCTGGGCCTTTTCCAAAAGTGTTTGTTCTTAAACATTCTTTTCCTTTCCCTGCCTACCCCCAAAATCCTCCTCCTTCTGCTATTTGTTTTTTTTTCTTTTCCTTAATCATTTAGAGAAATGGTCTTGATCTGGCAGCTTTTTAGAATCCTTTTCCAAGTCACTTTTTGTACTGTTGACTTGTGTGGCCTCTCACTGTACTTTGGGAGAGTGGCCAGCTAATGGGGGATAGGGGGCGGGACTGAGGCTGGTGTTTGTCTTGAGAGAGCAGCATCCCAGGTTCCTACTTCAAATGGGATAATATCTGAAAGATCGTAAGTGTCACTAGGAGGAAAAGTGCACATGTCATTGGGTTATTTGTGTTCTTTCCAAATGCCACCATGAGGACAGCCATCTTCAAGCCTTAATCCTTTTTGTCCCCTCTTCAGTAAACATCTTTGATAACTAATGTTTCTCAGACTCATGGCTAAAGTTGGTGCATCTTTTAAACATAGAGGAAAGGTGATTTGGGAGAATCATCATCTCAATAATTAGACCCTGATGAAGGAAAAAAGAAAGTTGAAACCAGCCTTATGGCTTTGGGGAAAGGCATTGCTCCTTTTGGCTCTGGACCTGGCCAGGGCTCTGGGAACCATCTCTTCTAGTTCCAAGACAACAGCCACATGGCTGGAGGAAGTGTGGCATGGAAGGGAAGGAAATAGTACTGAGCAAACAGTATTAAGAAGTTTTCAGATGTTACCTTGGAGGGAAAAGCACTTGCAGTGCAAGCCTGATAAGCTGAGTTTGATCCCTGGAACCCACATAAAAGTGGAAGGAGAGAATGGATACCTAAAACATAATGGTAAATATTTTAAAAAATTAAGTGCAAGATGTAAGCCTGCTAGCCTGAGTTTTGTATCCTCTCTCCTGTCACCCACTGAGCCTCTTTTCATCTGTGCACCAGTCTTGGGGTCCTCTTCTCCATATGAGGCTCTGTTGATACTTATTCACATGTATAAGACACATAGAGGCTCAGAAACATAATCTCAGTGGCTGTCTGGGTCATTGAGTAGGTGGCAGCTTCCTCCCCAGAGAAATGAGTAGACATGTTTTTCTAGATCACATACTGACTGTCTGGCTCTGGGTCTTCAGTTCCTTCCGAAGAACCTGCACTTGGTCTGCATGGACATGCCTGGTCATGAAGGCACCACCCGCTCGTCCCTGGATGACCTGTCTATAGATGGGCAAGTTAAGAGGGTACATCAGGTAAGCAGGAGGCTTTACCCAAACTGCCCAGACTGTATCTTCTCAGCACATGGAAAGCAGGCAAGAGTTGCACACTAGCTCATGGCCAGTCCGTAGTACATCTGTCTTTAAGTGATTGCAAACAGAATGGCAGCCTAGGGATATCTTTGGTCAGTTTTCCTTTAAGCCTATTGTATTTTTTGTTTTATTTTTTGAAATAGGGTATCATGTAGTGGAAGTTGCCTTAAACTTCTGATCCTCCTGCCTCTACTTCCCAAGTGCAATGATTACAGTAATGTACTACCATTTTATGTGATGCTGGGAATCAATAACAAATCAAGGAATCTGCATGCTAACCAAGCACTCTGCCCACTGAGTTACATCTCCTGCCAATTTGTACATGAAGAAATGTAATCTGGGCAGTTTCTCAGCCCTTTAAAAAGGCATTTAGAATTCTACAAAACTGTTCCCCTGTGGAGGTCTGTTTTTCTCCTTCTGTGTGGTTGGGGCAAACTCTTTGCATGTTGTTGTGTTTTAGTATCCATCTCTGGCTCTCTCCTAAGGTTATGTATGATAAAGCCTTTTCTTAACAGAATAGTTTGTAAGTTTCACGTTCACATTGATGTTTTTTTCTAAATAAGAATATTTAGGAGTCGGGCAGTGGTGGCGCACGCCTTTAATCCCAGCACTCGGGAGGCAGGCAGATCTTTGTGAGTTCGAGGCCAGCCTGGTCTACAGAGCGAGATCCAGGAAAGGCACAAAGCTACACAGAGAAACCCTGTCTCAAAAAAAAAAAAAAGAATATTTAGTTGATAATTTCTGCCTCCACCATTAAACTATATATTTTAACGAGGGCTTATTGTCTGGCTCTTTGCTGTGTCCTCAAGGGCTAACCATAGTTACTTGTACCTAATAAATATCTACTAATATTTTTCCAGTGAGGGATAAATATGTAGATGGTTGATTGGACAGATGTCTAGCCAGATAGGGCTTCAAATGAAGCAGGAATCATCAAACTATCGCCCCAGAGCTTTCAACCTACTTTTGTAAACTAAATTTTACTGGAACACATCCATGCTTACTTAGCTTACTTAGGTATGTATTGCCTCCGGCAACTTTTGTGACGCAGTAGCCTAGTTGAATAGTTACCACAGAGACCAGCCGACCCATAGAGAGAGGAAAAAAAAAACATCGATGCCTTGGTCCTTTATAGAACAGTTTATGACTTAAGGGGATCATTGTTGTTTGATTTATACTTATAAATGACCCTACAGCCACATGTGCCTTATAAAGCAAAGTACACATATGTCACAGGGCTCAACTAAATGTTGGGTGTAATAATCAGTGTCAGACCCAGTAGAGTGTTCAGTTTTACTGAGGGGAGGGGTCTCTGCTCTGCAGTAGTTGCTGACATCTCAGCTGTAATCATGCCTCCTTTTCATTTCTCTTCCTAGTTTGTAGAGTGCCTTAAGCTGAACAAAAAGCCCTTTCACCTTATAGGCACCTCCATGGGTGGCCACGTGGCTGGAGTATACGCTGCTTACTACCCATCTGATGTCTGCAGCCTGTGTCTTGTGTGCCCTGCTGGTGAGTTACGTTACCAGAATAACCTTACAAGTAACTTGAATTTAAAGAAGCATCCACACAGCTTCTGCTATGACTCCTTTAAAAAGTTATCCTTCTGATATAGACCTCAGAGATAGACAATGCTTTGTGATAACTCTGACCAGATAACAGTTGTGTGATGAGAACCATAGCCAGACTGACTTAATTGGAGCCAGACCTGGTTCACAGAGAAGGAGAGGCAGTGGAAATTTAAGATTGATTGTTTGCATGTGAGAAGGTGGAAACAAGTTAGGATCACATCCTACCTACATTTTTCTATATAAGTTTTGTCTTAACTTTGAAATAATTTTAAATTTATAGGAACATTGCCAAGGTAGTGCAGATTCCCATATTCCCTTTACCCAGTTTTGCCTATGTGAACAGCTCACATCCCCACAGTGACCCTGTCACAACTAAGGAGTTGAGCTTGGTGCCTTACTATCAACTGAATCCCAAGCTTCATTTGAATTTGACTTGATTTTTCCACCCGTGTTGCTTTTGAGTATCAGAATCCAGTGTAGGATACCACAAGATATTAAACCTAAGATTAATTTTTTTCTTAAAAAATATATATGACTTTGGGGGGCCAGTGACAATATAAATTAAAAGAGAAAAGATGTAAAGGCTAACAGATAAAAAACGAGTTTCATTATTTGATCATCTGTCAGGATGTGACTTTTTATCAAAACTTTCATTTGAATGCAAAAACAATGACTTTTTTTTTCCTTTCTATGGTGCTGAATATCAAACCAGGGCCTCATACAGGCTAAGCAAGGGCTCTGCTACTGAGCTGCACGCCCACATCTTAAGTTAGTTTGTTTATAACATAGATGTTATCTTAGCACAACTTCTAAAGGCTATTACAGAAAGTTATGAGGCCATTTTTGAAAGCTTTTAGGACTACCTCATGAAATTGCCTGTGCTCTAAAAGGACATATTCTGTGATTAAAATTAAAGAGAAGTCACTGTGAAACAGTATTGGATATGGACAATTCTGGACAGGTTCTATGTATCCCCCCATCCCACAGGTTAGGTTCTTGCTATGGCTGGCTTTAATTCCCTGTGTATGTAGCCTAGGCTGGCTTTGAACTTGCAATTCTCTTGCTTCAGATTCTTGTGTGGCTAGGATTATAGGAGCATACTGTCTCAGCAGGCTTTTCAGGACATAGATACATAATGTGTGGTTTTCTTTATGAGTAAGAGACAAAGTTGAAGCTGAGTATCTTCTTGGTCACTGTCCACTTTATTTGTTGATGTGGGGTTTCTAGCTGAACCCGGAACTTGCCAGTTATGGCTGGTCTAGCTAGCAAACTGGCCACAGAGTCTCCTGTTTATCTCCAAGGGTTGAGATTACAGGTGGATGTTACAGCTTCTGCATGGGTTCTGGGGTTCTGAACTTCCATCCTCATACTTATGCAGCAAGAGCTTTACCAGTGAGCCATTTCCTTGGCCCTAACATGTTGTTTTCTATAGGATGGCCAGTATTAAAGATGCAACTGCCTGTTTGTTTTTAAGACAAGGTCTCATGTAGTCAAGACTGGCCTTAAATTCATAATCTTTCCACATCTACCTCCCAAATTCTGGGATCACAGGCCATGCCTAGCATAGTGTTAGCTATCAGAGCCTCTTGTGTCATGAGATAGTGGGCAGTCTCAAAAGGAGTCTCACCCCTCACCTAATTTTCTTCTGGAGGAAGAGAGCCTTTGTGCTGCACTTACACTCTCTTGTGTCTTATGCATTGGCCGCAGAGGGGAGGGCATCCAGATCAAGGGAGGGAGCTGCAGTCATGGCAGCTCCATGCTTTCTTTCTATCTCTCACTTCCTTCAATCTCCTCAAAATAACGCAGGCATGAAAACAGCACGAGGGAGGCACCATCTGGTACTCCCCATACTCTGCCATTCTCACCCCCTTGCAGCTTGTGGAAATGCAGGTTCTGGTTCAAGAGGCTTGGGGACAGCCTCCGTTTCTGCGTATCTTGCTAAGTCTGTGGCCATGGTGTGTGCAATCAGCCCTAAAACATAATGCTGTTGTTTTAATCTGGACTATCTTAGAATTTATTATGTAAGCCCATGCTGGCCTTGAACTTGTGATTCTCTTGTCTCCACCTCTTGAGGCATGTATGTACCACCATGCTTAACTCCAATCCTAAAATATCGTAGATGATATATTTTTTTCTATAATTCTCAGAATACGATGTTTACTTTGAGCAAGGGTGCCAGTACCAATTAAAAAGTGATCTCTTAGCCAGGTGGTGGTGGTGCACAACTTTAATCCCAGCACTCAGGAGGCAGAGGCAGGCAGATCTTTGAGTTTGAGGCCAGCCTGGTCTACAGAGTGAGTTCCAAAGATGGCTAGATCTACACAGAGAAACCCTGTCTCAAAGAGAAAAAAAAAAAGAGGATTGTCTCCTGGTGAAAGAAACCTGACATGTTAACCTCAGTCCCTGGGTTTTCATTGAACATTTCCTGCACATAGGGGCACAATACACCTGATAGGTGTATCATTGGGCTCTTTTGTTTTTCTTCCCAGGCCTGCAGTATTCAACTGACAATCAGTTTGTACAACGGCTCAAAGAGCTGCAGGACTCAGCTGCCATTCAGAAAATTCCCTTGATCCCATCCACTCCGGAAGAGATGAGTGAGATGCTCCAGCTCTGCTCCTATGTCCGATTCAAAGTGCCCCAGCAGGTACAGTGTATCAGTGCCACACCCTTGCCCTCCATGCAGCCTCCCCCAGCATGGCCTCTTGCATCTACTCTCTGACTCCATTCTGTCTGCTCCATTATTCAACATGTAGCTTGCCTGTGATTATGTTAGACACTGTGCTGAACACTATGGTAAATATATAACACAGGGAGTTTCAACTGAGCAGATGCAATCCAATGCAGGAAGCAGACAACTAATAGACAAAAATTTACAAATTGAGACGAATTTTAGAGGTAAAATGAAGACGGTATAAATATTTAAAATGGGGAGGGAGGGATAGCTCTGATAAGGTAATTTGAAGGGTCATGTGTAGAGTGGAAAAAACATACACAGATTGATGGCAATGGAAAAAAGCAAGTGGCTGGAACCTAGAGAGTGAAGGAGAAAGGAGTTGGAAATAGAGTCAGGGGCTAAATCACATTCTCAATTTAAAAAAATTAAGACTCTTAGACTTGTACATTTAAAAAAATTATTTTGGATGAACCCAGAGGGCTTTTTATCTATGAGGGTTATATTTATTGATACTGAAACTCAAAAAAATTAAAAAACAAAGATAAACATTTGCCGTAAGAGATGATATTATCTTGTCATATATAGTATGCTTTTAAGAGAATGTAGGTGAAAGGCAATGATGTTGAGTGTCATTGAGTATGAGCACAGTGTGACCTCATGGTTTCCTAAGAGCTGCTCTGGAGAAGATCTTGTATGTCCTTGTAGTTTATGGGAGTGAGTCTGTTTTTTCTAAACATAATGGGAGAGCCACTGAAAGACTGTAGAGGACACAAATAGAAACAGAGGCTACTTGAGATATACTGTGGCTTAGAGGTGATGCTGGTACCAACTGGGGTAGTAGCACTAGCTAAGATGTGTTGTGAGGAAGAATGAACAAGACTTAGGGCAGGTTGGAAGTAGAGGTGAGGAAAAGTGAGTGGTCATAGATGACTTCCAATTCTTGAGACTGAATGGGTAAAGGTAGCATTTTCTGCACAGGGAAAAGAGAGGAGGAATTTCAGGTTTGGGACATATGCTGAGAGTTCCATTTTTGGATATATTAAGTTCAGATTGCTTTTGAGGCTTCCAAGGGATGGGCAGTTGGACATTTAAGTGGTACAAAGGGATTTCTGGCCTAAACATAAAGCAGGAGCCATAGACAGAGGAAGATATTGAGGGTCATGTCTGAATGAGGTCGTTTGAGGAAAAGGTGTAGAGAAAAAAGTCCACAGCTGAGGCTTTATGAACCCAGATTATCTTCCTGTGTTGTAAGCAATGAACCCTGCCTCAGGGTGAGGTGAGGTCCTCCTAAGCTGTGAGAATGGATGCTACACAGACTTTGTGACCATGACTTAGTTAATAAGTGCAGTACGTTTCTGGAGAAGAATCCAAAATCTGTGTCTGTGGTGTAATCTGTCCTTGATATCTTTTTAGTCATAAAGTGGCACTGTCCTCTTCCAGCTATAATACCTTTAGAATATTGTGACCAAAGAAGACTCCTTGCTTTTAGTTGTCAGGGGTAAGAAAACACTGGGAGAAAATATATGTTGATTTCAGAAGCCTTTCTTTCCCAGTAGGGTAGGGCCACCTACCATTGAGTCCATTAGGCCATCTTGTGGTTTCGTTTGTTCACATGTGTCTTCTGCTCTGTTCTCTGTCAGGGCCTGTCTGTCTCCAAACTTTAGCAGTGCACTTTCATGAAGAAGGTCCTACTTATATAGATTGCATGGATGGTGGATATTATAGGATGTCTTAGTGTCAGAGATAGAGAGTGGATAGTTATATAGGTACAAGATAGATAGATAAATGAGTTAATGCATGTTATGCTTATATGGTTTAAGGCTGCAGGATGGAACCATGGGTAGATGGTTGGTTGGTTGGAGGGATGGGATGATGACTGGATAGTATAGGGGTGGAGAAAGGATAGATTAGCAAATACAGACATAAATAAATGATTCAGGGAAATAAGATAAATGGATGAACTGATCTGTCAATTAAGCCAGTGGTTCTCAACCTGTGGGTCGCAACCCTTTTGGGGGTTGAACAACCCTTTCACAGGGGTCACCTCAAACCATAGGAAATAATCAGATATTTACATTACAATTCATAACAGTAGCAAAATTATAGTTATGAAGTAGCAATGAAAATAATTTTATGGTTGGGGGTCACTACAATATGAGGAACTGTACTAAAGGGTTACAGCATTAGGAAGATTGAGAACCACTGAATTAAGCAGAGTTGGAAAAGGATAGATGGATGCATGGATACTGGATGAACAGTAGAAAGAAGAAAATATCTGTCATGGAGCACAGTGTTTATTAAATAAACAGTCATTTCCCTCACCTCTGTGCTGCTACTTTCAGAACCTCTGGGATTCTAAAGAGCTGGTTTAGTCAAAAGCAGCCATGGTTCAATATATTAGTGAGCTTTCTATCACTGTGGGAGAATACCTGACAGTGCCGTGGGTTCAGAGGTTTCAGACCGTGGTTACTTGGCCCCTTCATTTTGAGCGTATAGTGAGGCAGAACATCATGGCAGGAAGCATGCAGTAGAGCAGAACTGCTCATCTCATGGTGGACAGGAAGCAGATAAGGATGGAGCCAGGGTCCCAATATATCATTCAATGACCTCTCCAAGTGGGTCCCACCTCCTAAAGCCCACCCCACAGGCTGAAGACGAAGCATTCAGTACATGACCTTTTGAGGAACATAACGCTAGTCTTCCCAACTTTGGTCTGCATAAGACTCCTGAGAAGGTATGTTGAAGGCGTCTAGACCTGTTCTCTGGTGAATGAGAGGAGTGACAGCTATCTTTGTGAACCCTCTGCTTTGACTTAGAGTCCTGAGGCAAGGAACTGCTTTACAATGGCCATAGCCACCTATCTGGGTTAGTAGCCCAGGACCTACCTATATTTGCTACAGCCCTCAGCAAAGAAAACAAAGGCAATGTCAGACAATAATCTGGGCTCTCTGAAACTATGGGGTTCTCACCAGAGTTTTTTTAATAGTTTATTTCTTCTGCTCCTCTTCCTCCTCTTTTTCCTCTTCCTCTTTCAAGAGGGTCTTTTTATGTATTATAGACTATCCTGGAACTCACCAAATAACTAAAGATGAATTTAAACCCTCAATTCTTCTGCCTCTATCTCTAGAGTATTAGGATTATAGGCATGCTGTACCACACCAGGTTTATGTGGTGCTGGAGATGGTCGAAGCTTGGTGCATGCTAGGCCAGTGTTTATAGGATCATCAATCCTGATGGTTCAATCTTGTCTGCGTTTAGATATCATTGAATAATGGCCTGATATTTTGTTTATCCAAATTTTTGTCTTGAATTAAACCAAGAGTTTCTCAAGATGCCATGCTAATGTCTTTAACATAATATGCAGACCTCTGGCTTCGCAGCATTTCCCAAGTTCCTCCCTAATTTTTTATTATTATTATTTTTTAATGTGAAAAGTGTTTTGCCTGTATTTTGTGCACCACATGCATGAAGTGCCTACAGAGGTTAGAGGAGAGCATCAGAGCCCTTGGAACTAGAGTTACAGAGGGTTGTGAGCTTCCTTGTATATGCTGAGAATCAAACCAGGTCTTATGTAAGAGCACTGAGCTATCTCTCCAGCTCAGTTTGTTTTTTAAAGCCTCCCAATTATATTCTACATTCTGGGTATTCACAAGCCCAACCCTCGGCAGTGCTGCCCCAGAGCTATAAGACGCTGGAGGAAGTGGGACTTCTCTTGTTTTCTAACCTTGGATTATTCATCCTCAGATCCTTCAAGGCCTTGTTGATGTTCGCATCCCTCATAACAGCTTCTACTGGAAACGTAAGTAGCCCTGCTCTAGCTTGCGGCTTTGGGGCCAGCTGCCTTGTAGTTTGTAAACCTCTGTACATGTCCTGTTTTCTGGTCCCCTGAAGAGAAGTAATGGCCTGGACTTGAAGCTCTGACTCTTGTGGTACCTATGTTCAGATCCTGCATATACTCACTGTGTTTTTCTTTTCTGACAAGTGTTTTTGGAAATTGTCAGTGAGAAATCCAGATACTCTCTGCATCAGAACATGGACAAGATCAAGGTCCCAACACAGATCATTTGGGGAAAACAGGACCAGGTATGTCATAGGGCCCTGTGGAAAAAAAGCAAGTGGTGATCTTTAAAGTGGGCCTCCCTGGTGGGTTTATTGTGTCAGGTGCCAATGTCTGCTGCCACAATTCTTTAAGCTGAGAACAATGACATTTGACTTTTAACATGAAAGGAAATTTATTTGTTTGTTTATTGAGATAGGTAGCCCAAGCTGACCTTATACATAGGATCTTCCTGGCTTCAAATCTGGGAATCAACAGGGCTGATTCCTCTAGGAACTCTGAGGGAGACTCTCCCCATTTTCCCCCAGCTTCTGTTGCTTGCAACCATCTTTGGTATCCCCTGTCTTATAGATGTATTCCCTGGGCTCTACTTTCATCTTCACATGACATTCTGTGTGTGTGTGTGTGTGTGTGTGTGTGTGTGTGTGTGTGTGTGTGTGTGTGTGTGTGTGTGTGTGTGTGTGAGAGAGAGAGAGAGAGAGAGAGAGAGAGAGAGAGAGAGAGAGAGCGAGAGCAGGCTTCCCTGCTCTCTTATGACATCATCTTAACCAGTTACACCTGCAATGCACTATTCCAAAACAGGCCAATGCTGAGTACTGGAATTAGGACTTCAGCATAAGAATATGGGGACTCCATTCAGCTCATAACCAGCTCTCCAAAGACACACCAAGTTTATTCCCAGAAGTACCTTTGTAACTGCCTCTGAGAAATCATGCCTACCAAAGATTTTTCATAATGTTTAAAGCAAGAGGAGGCAGTGAGAAATGTATAATGCAAACGAATGACAGTGTATTATAAAGGGTACACAAGAATCTTTCATTAAGGAATATTGTAAGAAAAAGATTAAAAACAGGCTTTTTTTCTGATTGTTTTCTGGTGCCATAACAAAATGTCTGAGACTGAGTAATTTAAAAGGACTAGACGTGTAAAGGTTAATGTTTGGTTGGCTGTGAAGTCCATGTGTAGAGTGCCAGCATCTGCCAGCATGTAGTGAGGGGCTTTCTGTTCCATATTTGGTTGAGGACAGCATGATAGTGACATTAATCCATTCCTGAGGGCAGAGATCTCAATGATCTATTAATCCATTTAGGAGGGCAGAAGGATAAAGTTTCCAATGCATGAACTTGTAAGGGACACCTTCAAGCTCGGCAGACCTGAGTTCTGATGCAGCTGAGGAAGTAGAGGAATCTTTACAGAAAGGGAAAGAGACCTCAGGAATAGTGTCTTCCCTTTCTCTGTCTTATTTGCCCTCTCAGCCCCTATCTATGGAGCCCCTGTTCACATCATGATACAGTCATCTCTTGATAGTTCTGGCTCCCCCTCCGGCTTAACCTCCTTGCAGACAGCAACTCTGTCTTTTCTACCTGGTTATCATTGGCAGTGTTGTACTTCTATTACCATATTTCAGAGTCAAACAGGAGGCATGCTAACGGCTTCCATTTACCCCATCTTCCTGACCCCTGCCAGGCCTCAGTGGTAGAAATTGTCCACGACAACACAGTGGCGCATCTAAATCTTTGTGTACTATTTCTCTCCTCCTCTTCCTCTGCAGGTGCTTGATGTGTCTGGAGCAGATATACTGGCCAAGTCCATCGCTAACTGCCAGGTAGAGCTTCTGGAAAATTGTGGCCACTCAGTGGTGATGGAGAGACCCAGGAAGACAGCCAAGCTCATTGTTGATTTTTTAGCTTCTATGCATAACACAGACAACAACAAGAAGCTGAACTGAGGTCCTTGCCACAGCCTGCATTGTTCACACAGCATCTACTCCCATCCCGCAAACTTGATACAGTCACCACTCTCAGGGATCCTGCCCCAAACGCCGTTGGATCACCAATGTCCCTGAGGAAGCCAGTCTCCTGCCCCAGTATTCTTGGTTCCACAGAGCATCAGGGGCCACAAGGAAATCTCCAAGATCTTTTTTCAAAATAGAAACCTAAATGGAACTAAATAAAAAAAAAAAAATACCCAGCCATGAAGCCTACTAGAAGTCTTCAAGTTCATGTCACTGACAAGCTAATGCTAAGCAGCCACCTTAGACCATGATCATGAGTGACATTTTCTTTAAGACATTCCTCACACATTAAACTTGAGATATTTTTTGTTGTTTCAGATATATCCCTTGCATGGTCAGTGGCTCCTATAGAGGAGCTTTAGTCATTTATTGAACTCTTGTTTAGATCTAATTCAAGTTTTGCATAGAGGCCCATGTGTGAATGTAGCCCATTAGCCACAAGACTAGAGAAGAAACAGTAAACTGTGAAAGAGGTTTCTGCCCTAGGTCTATTGTACAGACCTGGAATCTCAGCCACTTGGGAGGCTGAGGCAGGAGGATCCAAGTTCAAGACTTGCCTGAAATATAGAGTGAGTTCAAGGTCAGCCTGAGCTACTCACTAAGACAAAAAAGAAAAAAAATTTAAAAAGAAAAGAAAAAAATGTTTCTATGTTTTTTTTTTGTTTTTTTTTTGTTTTTACATATAGAAACATACATGGAGGGGCATTGTTCTGCCTTAGCCAGCCCTCAAAACTGCTGAAGCAGCAGAAGATGGGCTGATGGGTTTGGGTACCTACAAATCAGATATGTCATGAGTAACCAGAATAAAGAACATCTGATAGGGTGGGTTTCCTAGAAATAATTTATAATTTTTAAAAATAGGACTAATAAAGCAATAATGTTCTAGACTTCTATCTAATCAGACTGGAGTTCCACACCAAGCAGCTCATGGGCATCTTTTCTATTCTGCTGTTCTACTGATAACCCTTGGATGTAAAATACTAGTTTGTTAATGAATTCTGTGAATTCTGTGAACAATAGTGTGATTGAAAAAGTAAGTCCAAACAGCTGTAAAAGTGACTATAATGATGTGAAATAAATTTAATAAGCCTAGGCTGGCAACACACAGGCGCTTTCTATTTCTCAGCCCCTAATGGGGTGCAATATTGATAGATTTTCTGTTCACTTAAAAATGTGTTTATTGCTGGGCGGTGGTGGCGCACGCCTTTAATCCCAGCACTCGGGAGGCAGAGCCAGGCGGATCTCTGTGAGTTCGAGGCCAGCCTGGGCTACCAAGTGAGTTCCAGGACAGGCGCAAAGCTACACAGAGAAACCCTGTCTCGAAAAACCAAAAAAAAAAAAAAAAATGTGTTTATTTCCGGGGACAAGTGAAGAAGACAGAGGTTGATGGTTGATGGCAGGTATCGTCCTTAGTCATTTTTAAGACAGGATCTCTCAGTGGACTTGGAGCTAGCAAAGCCGTAGGCACCCCCTCTCTCATCACCTCGCAGCACAGGATTGCGGGCACATGTTGCTGTGCCGTTTTTCACATGGGTGCTGGGGATCCAAACTCGGGTTCTCAGGCTTGTGTGGTGAGGCTTTTACCAACTGAGCCATCTCTCTGGACCCTAAAATGTATTTCTATTATTTTATATTTACTGTAATTAAGTGGATGTGTCTGTGTCTATGTGGGGGTAGATGCAAGTGCAGATGCTTGTGGAGGCCAGCAGCCACAGGTCCCCTGGAGCTGCAGTTACAGGACATTGTGCCCTGCATGTCATGGGTACTGGGATTCAAACTTGGGTCCTCTGCAAGAGCAGTGTGTGCTGGTAACTGCTGAGCCATTACTCCATCCTAAGTAAAGTAACTGAAATCATTGCTCAAAAGTCATCAATTTTTCCTTTTTTTTTTTTTTTTTTCCCCAAGACAAGGTTTCCCTATGTAACAGTCCTGGCTGGGGCTGGAGAGATGGCTTAGAGGTTAAAGAGCATTGACTGTTCTTCCAGAGGTCCTGAGTTCAATTCCCAGTAACCACATGGTGGCTCACAACCGTCTATAATGAGATCTGGTGCCCTCTTCTGGTGTGCAGGCAAATATGCAGACAGAACACTGTATACATATTAAATAAATAAAGGAATTTAAAAAAATTTTAATTAAGAAACAACAACAAAACAGTCCTGGCTGTCCTGGAACTCACTCTGTAGACCAGGCTGTCCTGGAACTCACAGAGTTAAAAGCGTGTGTCTCTAATGCACAGCAATTTGTTTCTTTTCCTTCACTTCTGTTGTTCATAGCTTAAATGGGAATCCATGGTGTGGTTTGAATATTATCATTAATCAGAGAAGCATGGAGTATAGTTCTTGAAAAGATGTGAAAATGACAACAAGCTTGTGAGATGTAGCCAGTGCACTGATCAGGAAAATGTATAGGTGTAAATGCACACATTAGAAAAGAAAGGCTGAGCCAAGTGGTGGTGGCGCACACCTTTAATCCCAGCACTTGGGAGGCAGAGGCAGGCGGATCTCTGTGAGTTCGAGGCCAGCCTAGGCTACAGAGTGAGTTCCAGGACAGCCAGGACTACACACGGAAACCCTGTCTTGAAAAACCAAAAAGGGGGGAAAAATGTCTGAAAATCAATAAATTAGATCCAGAAGCTTGCGGGGGGAAATAGTAAATCCAACAGTAAAATAAGGGAATAATCCAACTGAAAATAAAATCAGAATCTATTCTGTTTCTCAAAGAAAGTAGATTATTTGACTTTTTCCTGTGAGGAGGGTGACTCTGCACCTAGGTGACAAGAGATGGTTTCCTCTGAATCACTAAAGAGGCCATGGACCTGGGGATCCGTTTCAAAAGCAGCTTTCTGAACACAGGATTTCTTACTGGCAAGGATTAGAAGCATCTGTGAGCCAGCTATTCTGATGTATACTCATGATCCTACAACTTGGAAAGAGGAGGCAGAAAGATCATGAAGCCATAGTAAGACTCCAATCACAGTGGCCCAGGAGAGGGGTCTGCATTGTCATCTGGCAGGATGTGTGCTGTCCACCTCGGCCTGGAAGAACAGCTAGGCAGGCTCTGCAGTGGGCATGACCCCCGCTTCCTGCACTATCAACAGAAAACCTTGTTAGAAGTCAGGAACCAAGAATAAGGGAGTTGTTTTTTTTATAAACACATAAAGTAGGTTTTCTAGGTTCTCTGATGACCCGGCCATGCTGGGAAGTCCCTTGTACTCTTTGTCTTGCCCCCATAATTTTAAGAAGCCTGCTAGTTACTGCCTGCCAGCTACCTCCACACCACCCTGCTGGGCACTCTGCACCTTTGCTGAATCTTTAAAAGAAGAAAGGAATCATTCACCACAGCCCTTCCTGAAGGACTGCCAGGAACTTCTGGGATAAAATGGAAAGCCCCAGGAGACTCAATTCCTCTTCTTGGAGTTGGGACCATCAGAGTTGTTGCAGATTGAGCTTCCTGGGAAAATACAGGAGTCACTGAGGGACAAGCAGTGATCAGAACTTGTTGCCATCAGTCTGGGCTTCTCCAGGATGGGGGTGACAACAGGAATAACATTGGTACCAGGTGACATACGCCAGGTCGATGGTGCTGTCTGTTCAAATCTGTCTTCCACTTGAGCTCCTGTGAGGCCCCTGTATCCCAGGGAGTCATTCCCGCTGCTCTGCCCTGGGGAAGTTCCCAGAAAGCACAGGGGGATTGGAATACCTGCCAGGTGGGGCTGCAGGACTATGGCTGCTGTGTTTGTCCGATCCTTTTTTCTATCTCCTCTCTATGCCTCTCCCGGTATGAGCTACACACAGGCAGTTAGTTACCTCCTAGCCACTGGAACATGGCTCTGCTGAGCTTTCATCTACCTCTCTTGCTGTCACCCCGAAGCCACAGACTAGACTTCCTGGTCAGTTGTCAGGGGTTAAAAAGTAAAAGGCATTTTGAAGGGAAGGGAATGAACAGAGATGGGACAATGGAGATAACTTCAAATTAGCTGCCAAAATTGGAGCAGAGTGGGATGGAGCAGTACTTGGATTACTGATCAAGATCCCTGCTGCCCCATGGCTTTGTGGTTTAGTATCATCCATATTCTCTAGGCTGGTCATAACCAGGGTGTAGGCCTGGCAATTCCTCTGCCTGTGGTGGGAACAAGGGTCTTTAGTCACCATCACTGATCTGAGAGAGGCAGAGGCAAAAGGCAGCTGGACTTTTCTTGCTGAGTCTAGTGGGGATCATTCCTTTCTGAGTTTTTTGATCTTTGGTTCTTAAAGCTCCAATGGGAACCTTGGGCCATGGAGCTCCATTAGGTGATGGGCAGGAAGGATTCTGACAGTCCTAGTGACCCAAGGCCAAAGCTAGCTGGGGCCTATACTCTCATTGATTGTAACATAACTTTTGGAAGGTGACTGCCAAGAGTAGTGTGAGCCTACTTCCATAATTCCTCACCAAGACTATCAGATCTGAATGTTACTCAAATCTAGAACCATCTCCATGTAAAAGGACCATGCACCATATCTCATATAATATCCCAACTCCATGTATGATCCAATTGATACATCCATGTTTCTGCTACCAGTGTAAATTGGATGAGATCTGAAACAAGCTTTCCCTTCACGTTGGTACTGGGTGAGAAGACTGTGCTTCTGTTTTGCGTTTTTGTTTGTTTTTTTCTTTTTTTTTTAAAGATTTATTGATTTTGTATACAGTGTTCTGCCTGCATGCCAGAAGAGGGCACCAGATCTCATTACAGATGGTTGTGAGCCACCATGTGGTTGCTGGGAATTGAACTCAGGACTTCTGGAAGAACAACCAGTCCTCTTAACCACTGAGCCATCTCTCCAGCCCTTTGTTTGTTTCTTAAGTCACAGATAAAGAATGGGAGCCTGCTTTCCAGGTTCCAGCTCTTCTGTTGAGGAGTAGGTGGCACACTAAGGAAGAGAATTTTCCAGCATGGAGAAGAAACAACCTGCACATGGGTATGTGCCACAGCACCCGCTTCCAGGCCATCAGTAGTTTGTCCTAATATTTTTTTCATTTATTTATTTTATGTGCATTAGTGTTATGCCTGCATGTATGTGTAGGGTGTCAGATCTTGGAGTTATAGACATGTGATGCCATGTGGGTGCTGGGAACTGAATCCAGGTCCTCTGTATAAGCAGGTAGTGTTCTTAACCTCTGTGCCATCTTTCCAGCCCTGTCCTAATATTTTAATTATTGATATTAATGATAATTTTATTTTCCCAATGCTAAGAAGAAAGATGCCTATGCCTCATGCATGGTCCCACACTCCCCCATCAATTTTTTGGGATGTCTGCGTACTTGCATACATATATACATACCTATAATCAGAGAGGATCTGCAGATGGTTTGGCAAGCTTTTTTTTTTAAACAAAAACAAAAAGTATAAATGGAGTTATGGTGGGAATTGTTGTTGCCCTTACCCACTTGCCTCTTTTGCCTCTATACATTGGGACTCTTCTAGATCAACCCACAGAGCCCCAGGTTTCTGTAAGGGGAGTGCTGAGTTCTCCAGAGAAAGTTTGGAATGCCCAGGTACACTTGAGAATGAATTTTGAAATTTTAAGAAATTATCTAGTCAGGTACAGCAGCAAAAGTCCATGATTTCAGCTACTTCGGAAGAGGACAAGTTGGAGGCCAGCCTCGACAACTTAGTAACATCCTATCTCAGAACAGAGTTAAAAGAGCTAAGGATGGGGGCTGGAGAGATGGCTCAGCAGTTAAGAACACTGACTGTTCTTCCAGAGGTCCGGAGTTCAATTCCCAGCAACCACATGGTGGTTCACAGCCATCTATAAAATAATGAAATGCTCAATAGCAGAACACTTGTCCTGTGAGACTCTGGAAGAGAGGAAGAGGATTGAGGATTGAGGATGGGGGTGGGGGTGGGAGGGTGGGAGGTGGGGGGATGTTAGCATTAAGGCATCTTCACTGGCCTGCCCTTGGGGACCTGGCAGGATACCTGGCATGTACATGCACTTGCTAGTACTCAGGCTACACTGGTCTGCTCAGGGTCCTGACAGAATCATCAGCAGCAGCTATGATGCTACACAGAGCTCTCCCTATGCGCATGCACTATGTCCCCTTATAACAGGCAAGCCTGAC